GTTGCAAATTCGTAACAATACTAAATGTTTCTAAGCCTAGGTTCCAGTATTTGCAATTTTCTTTTACAAGCATTTTGCTTTGATTAATAAGGTTTCTGTCAAATTTTGTATTTCCATCAAACTTACTGATTTAATTCTCTATTAGAGTAATCTTTTGATGTGAATTGGATTAAGTTCATTGTGTAATTGACGATCTATAAATTCACTATCTTCTGTGAACTAGGTAATACAAAAATCAGCTGCCTCTTCGCAAATGTCAAAATTAGATAATTGATAAGCTACTTTGCATAAATAAGATGCTAACAAGGGTAATGGTAATGGATGCAATGTAGTGATGTCATCTCCAGTTTCCCCTATTCCATTTGATACACCTTCTGTACCATCATAAGCTGCTACAGCAAAACAATATTTCTCGTTTCTTTTTAATCCATTCATCGTAACTATTGCTCCTATCTTCTACCTAATTCCAGTGTTATTAAGATCATTACAAGTGAGGGACACATTGACTCCATTTGCACTTATTTTTCCAAATATTGCCATACTTGTTATGGTCTTTTTCGCTTAATCAATGGCTATCATATCCAATAATTTTGGTTTAAAAGGCGGCAATTTAAAAGTTACAGATTCAGAATTCCTACTAATTAAAATTGGTTTACGAGGTACCTGTGTAGATTTAATGTATAATGGATTGTACAACATAGAATATGGGAATACATTATTGGATGTGCTTTGAGTATCAATGTTATCACATAAAGTGGACATTACAAATATTGCATCATTGATTCCATTTTCTATGTGTAATTGCTCCTCTTTCTCTGCTTATTGCAAGAATTTCAGAGAATCTACTAAAAAGGATCGTTATTCTGTTTATTTCTATTTCACACTAGCAAGAAGCATGTACAATAAACAGTTGGCATAAGGATTTTTATTAGCTTGATTCATTATCTCAGTTTCGAATTAATGGATCACAGGTTTTGGCGGTTTCAATTTGCCCTCTTTTTAAAGTGTACTCTATAATTGATTAACATTCTTCTTAATTGTTTGGGCTGTTTCTCCTTGCATTATTGACATTTTTTTTTGAATAGCTAATGAGACTCCTTCTACTTCTTCTTCTAATGAGTTCTTCTTAATTGAATTCTTCTAGAGATCTAATCCTGCTTTTAATTGGCATCTATACAATGCAACAGTTAGATCTGCATGTAACGCATTTATGATTAAATCTGTTTCGTTAATCTTTTATTAGATTTAGAATGTGCTTGTATCTTTGTTATCATCACCCAATAAAGATTGATATGCTTCGAGTAATTCATATTCCTCCTCATTCAATTCATCATCTTCTAACTATTATTTCTTGTTATTTGATCTATTTTTTATTCTAATTTCTCTATTTATTTAGTTCTTCTGATTAATCCACGCTTCCCTCATTCTATTCATCATTTCTTCTATTTTATAATTTGAACATGTGGCTGCAAATGGTAAGAATAAATCTTTCTAAGAATCAACTCCTCTCACTGTTAATGAATTCCTATGTTGAATTATCCTATCAATGCATATTTTCAAGTTCTCCTCAGCAACTGATGCTTCTTTCTCCTCCTCTAAAAATTTAGCAAGTGACAAATTCACCTTGCATAACAATATGATATCCACATAAGGGATCTTAAATAGAATCTCATTCAACACTAACAATCCATTCTTAAAGATCTCTCTTGCCTATTGAATCACCTTTTCATAACGGCTATAATCCTACCTACTCAACTCTTAAGTAATTAATAACTCTTAGATGAATTGCATCTAATAGAGAGGTGGTAAATAGTATTTTCTCCAAAGTAAGAACACTAATTAAGATAGAAAATCTCTTTTTTCTTTTAAGAAATGGATTCCCAAAGGTCCAACCAGACAGCTGCTTATCATGTCCATCAAATCCTTAAGGGATTATAAATCATAACATATTTCCAATTCTAGTCTACTGTCATCCTCTATACTAGACGAGACCTCCTTTTGATATGACTTTTCTAATTTAATGAAATGAATCAATATTTATAACTCTCTTTCCTTTACAAAATAGTACTTATCTGTTTTGTATGTAATATAGATGTAATCCATACCAGGACTTCGAATAAACTCTTTTGGAGTTTGTCTGAGATCTAAATTTATTTTCTGATATCCAAAATCTGGTCTAATGAGAGGGTTCTTACCAAATAATGGTTTAATTCCAACCAATAATGACATTTTTTCATTTTCATCGTTTAACTCATTCATAGTGTGTTTTAATAATAAATAAGGAACAGTTTTGTACTTTTCTCTGACCCCTGTATATTATTTAATAGGTATGGCAATTGCCCGATATCCTTAATTCATCTTCTCAACAGGTCCTTATTCTTCATCTGCCATAACAACATCAATCTCATAAATTGCATTGTCAGGAGTCATAGATTTCTTATATACCAAATAGATATAATTATGGTTTATCTATGCTAATTCCGAATCTGTGGCCTGAACTCCCAATCCCACTTAATCTGTCTATTGTTTTTCTTATTCTTGCTATTATGGTTGCTTTTTATTATCCTTTTTCTCATCCTTCTTTTGGGTCTGCTGCTATTACTATTGCTAATCACCTTTATTCTTATTTCTAAGTCGTTTCAATTCGGTTCTAAGATTAGCTTCATTAATATCGATTTAAATCTTATCATAACCATTAGGAATATTTGGATAAGGATTAGTACTAATCAATATGTTAACATCTTAGATATATGGAACTTCAATTCTTCTATATTTACATCTGACATAAGCTGAATTGCTGATATCTTCAAAGACTTTTGTGTTTCCAACATCATAGGCATGATGTGCCAATTCAATCTAATATTCTAATGGCAACCCATCAGCCAAAGCCCTCCATTCTTTCTCTTTGATTAATGAAGCTTCGAATTCTCTTCTCTTTTTGGTCATATCATTTCGCTCTAATTCATCCAAAATGTTTTTTGATTTAAAATCAACTGTCTTTGTAATTTTATCCATCTGCTATTCCAATGCTATCGCTATCCTTTCCATATCATTTTTTAGCATGTCAAAACTTACTTAAACTAATTACTCCTTCAGTTAATTGCCCACATGTGTTTACTTAACTGTGTTTGATAAATTCGGAGGTGAAAATCGCAAAGATTCAATAATTGCCAAACATCTAGCCTCCTTGTCCTATTAGAACTCCTCAATCTTCTTTTTCCATTAATCGATGGTGAACACTCCTGCTTGCAATTTAAATTTTAACTCTAATATCTTGAGCAATCTTGTATTCTATTTTAATATCTTATCCATGTAATCCTGCAGTGGTGGATCCATTTCTTCCAACTCTCTCAATTCTTAAACCTTTTGTAACCCCAAATCTATTGTTCTATAGGCACAAGCCTTCGACTGCAAGGAATGGTAGATGTGTGCCAATTCAACATAAAGTTTGATCCTCCAATCCAAATACTTTATGGATGTCAACACCAAACATCCCTCCATCGAGGTGATACAAAATGCCAAAAAATCAATTGCGATATATTAGTATATTGACTATTTTAGTATTTATGAACATATTTACTTTTCTCAGGACTCTGCAAATGTCAAATATATAAACTGTTCCATTATATATTAGATAATAATTTGAATTCTTATCCTCAAATGTCCCTATATTCAACACTTGCATACAATCTCTTAATGATGCCAGTAAGGTTTTCAAAGATTATGCTGTGTCCTTTCGTACACATTAAGGATCTGACGCAGTGTATGTTTTAAATAATGTTTATACCTGAATTCAATGAAAACTGTTACTTTATTAAATTACTTTAATGCTTGATCTCTTTATTCAGTTGCATTCTTGTAAATTACTTATGGTTTGTTTTCCACCTACTAAACACCTGCTGGTTGATCCTGGAATTTCACTCCAGGTTTTGCTTACGCTTATTACTTTTTATCAGCCATAATAATTTAATAATTGAATGGAACTTATATACTAAATTGATAAATTGTTCTCCACTTAAAAAAGATGTCCTCTGCTTAGTTGTACAATGATTGAGATAGCCAAATATTGTTAGCATCAAAGTAGAATCATAAAATCTAAAACCAGAAAGGATTGGCACATTTTTAATACTCTATCCATCAATACAAATTTAAGATGGTCTTACTTTGCAATTAAATATTTTGGCTGATTGATTAACTTATTCATTAGTTGACCATAAAACGAAATGAAATTAGTTTGTCAAAATTATTTGGTTAGATTTGGCATAGCATGAAGAAAGTCCGATTAGTCCAAATTTTACATACACATATTGATATTGATGATATAACTCGATAAATCTAATATTCTTTGATTCAATTTGGGTTATCTAGATATAAATCTAGAAATTATTATTTCAGCTATTCAAGTATATCTTTAATACTAATACACTTTGTGGACATAAAACTCAGATTTTTGACAATTTTTTTGGGAATATAATGAATATTGTAAGGCAAATTTAAGAGAAGCAAAAGTTATTGAATTATATTTCTAATGATAAATAAACTATATTAGATATCCATATAAGGATGAAGAATAGTTTTGCTTATTTAATCTCACTAGAAAGAAAATCAAAGCGCAAATTATTTGTGCAATTATGCATTTTCAAGAAAAGGCATGTTTAAAAATTAACCCTCCTAATACTTTATATAACTCAATAAATAATAAGATGATGCTGTGAGGAGTCAATCTCAACCAATCAAAATTAATATCAATAATTTACTTAATTTTAGAAAGTTAATATATTTATTTGAATAAACAAACTAAGTTAATTTACTTGTTAAGCAATGAAAGTATTAATAATAAGAAGGACTTTTAATAGAAATTCATAATTATTTGTATACTCCAAAGTTTTGAATTATTTTTATGGGAATGGATATAAAGAGAGAAATTCTAAAAATAAATAAATCTGATTTGTGAAATGTAAATAAATCCATTCTATTTTAGAATATAAAAATAAAACAATTCAGGGTTATTTTGATAATATTTCCAATGGATCTAATACATTATAGTTATTCTCTAAATCAATAGAATTTTCTGGTTTTATTGCTAATCTGTTTGTTTCTTTGCAATTTTAAAATTCATTATAATTGTTTTACAGTTTTCCTCCCAACGAATGACTCTATTATAAGACTGAATCTCCAAACCGCTACTAAATGATAAATTAAATCCTCGAAATCTCATACAGTATATTATTAAACCGACATTTCTCCTTTGCCCTTTCTAATAAAAAGTTATATTTAAGCCTAAAATCCCCAATCGAGCATTTGAGTTTATTTTCAATACTCTCTTTGATTTCCAATTTATTAAATATAGTAAGTTTTACGTTTTTTAATTCAGGATAATACATTGTAATGATTTCATGAAGTAATTAATTCTCGAGAAGCTTATTGTTATAATATAAAGCTATATATTTTAGCATAAATATTAATTAAACAATTGAACCAACCTAAGCAAGAAATTGACCTAGTTTTGGCATAGTAACCAGTTCTTTAACTTAAATACTATCTAATCTAAATAGATAGCACCCAAAATTTGTGAAGTGATAAGGTTATTTGGACATTGATGATACAACATTAGATGAAAAAAATGAATCAACTTACTAATTGATGAGTTCATAATTATTTAAGAATTAGTAGCTTTTATAATTATTAAATAACAAACCATCATCAATGACTGTCTCTTGCTATTTCAACATAACTTATGAATATTGTGGATTAAATATATCAAAAGCGTAGTAGTATTGCTTATTGAATTCTTCTAATTCCCTTGTTGAATGATTAAGTTGATTTAATTTAATGCTTAAAAACAAGAACCATGAAACTTTTATAGATACTCATCAATTGTTTTCTAATCAGCACAATAAGCATTTCTTACAAAGTTTCATTAGAGCAACTTTCAAGCACAATTAAATATTGTTTCATCTCCTAATGATCCTGATCTGGAATAATTTCATGATTTAAAACTAAAGTGATATTCTCAAAAGATATTGTAAAAGGCTTCTCTTAACTACTAAATAAAGGGATTGGTTTATCTATAATTGCCGTATCAATAACTGCATACAAATGAGGAGTTATAATATTATTTTATTTTCTAAATGGATCCACATCACCTGAAAAATCTTGTAGCATCAAATCAATCATTGCAGATTGTATATGAAATTAAGCATATCCTATTGTTTCTTACTTAAAACTTACATTAGGAGGAATTAAATTACTTATCCAGTATACAAAAACATATAAAAAATATGAAAGACTTACGCTTCCGGCAATTAGAGTAATTATCCCTCCAACTTTACTCTGAAAAACTGAAGTCTTTTCATTAGTTAGCAGATTAATAGGAACTCCAAAAATATCTATTTTATCAATAGTATTCAATATTTTATTCATTTTATTAATTATTATTTAGCCTTTTTAAATAAATAAAAATTATTAATCTAAATTTAACATATAGAATTCTCTTTGTTCCTTAAGATCCACAAAATCAAAGGTATTCTTTATTCTACATCCTTAACAAATTTATCTTAAAGGTCAAGAAATATATTAACTTCGTACTCTACCAAAAATATCCACTTTTTTTTGAAAATTGTTTTATTAATTTTTTTTCACCCTGCTCTTCTTCCTTTAATTGTTATATTGATCTCAACTCAACATTAATTTCAATCTTAAAAACTTATCTTATAAACTATTTTATTGAGTTATTTTTCTTAAACTACAAACGATTATAATTTACATTTTTTCATTTTTTTCATCCTCATAACTCTTCTTAAACCAAACATCCCAGTAACCAACTTTTTTGCCATATTTGAAATTACCCACATAATATATCTCTGCTTTACTAGAGATGGGAGTGCAATTTATTATCTCCTTTCCTAATTAATTGGGTTTCCTTAAAATCATAAATAATAAATCCACTGCACAATATTAATTTCTAATATATCTAAAACCATTTAAATTATTTTTGATTAAATTAATAAATATCCCATTTTTCAACTTTTTTACCATCCTGATATTCTCCATCTAACGTTACTTATGAACTAAGCTCATTCAATATTTCAACCCAATTTCCCTATTTCATTCCATACCTTTCTACATTATATAATACACCGCCGCTAAAAAAGTACATTGTGAAGACTAATTAATAAGTGCTCCAAAATCTTTCCAAAGGTTCTTACCTTTTACCATTTCTTTCTCCATTCTAATTATAGTTGCCACAACCTCTATAATAATATGAAATTAATCTTTATACATTTCTTTATTATCTGAGATATATTTCCAATTCTTCATCCTTATCCCATTATTATAATCTCCTACAAATATTTGCTTCCAATTGCTAAGGATTGTATACAAAGACTTTCAATTAATTCTTACCATAATCATTTTTTGTTTCCTTTCTCTAAATAATTCTCACCTACATCTTTGATTATTTGATCTTCCATGTGGATATATCCATTTGCCTACTTTTGATTATTGCAGTTATACTATCTAGACCATTATATAAAAGTAATTCTTCCAAATTAGTTAGGATTTCTGATTTCCTAGTTGTAACTTTATTTAATCTCTATAAATAAAAATTAAAAAATTAGGCTCTTACATTCTTAGGATATCTCCTTTAGTAAATTTGTCTTGGGATTAAGTTTAGATAAATCTATTACAAACTTAATTCCGAATAACTATTTTTTATTCTTGGCTACCTTCTTGCCACACTAGTTACTCATTATTTTTAATCCTAAGCTTTCTAATTATTGGTTTACCCAATCATTTTTAAAATTTCTTCCACCCATTATCACATTTTCGCTCAAAAGGTCTCCACTTCTTAATTAAACAATTACTTCGCTTTATTAAAGAGACAAATCTTCTTTTTTTTTGGCGAAAAGATGACTAAACAAACAAATTCAGATAAAATAACAACTCATTTGAATTCTACTTTTAAGAATTTAATACCTTTAATTGTTGACAATGAAAAATAATAGAGAATGAATGATACAACTTTAATTCGAATTATTTTATGTATTTGCAGCTAGTCTAATTCAAATTGACATTAGTAAAGCTTCTCCAGTATCCTTTCTCTATAGTGTCTACTACTATATTTAAGAACAATATTTATTCTCATCTTTCAGCTTCGATGATAATTAGATGGAGAAATATAAATCTTAAAATTTCATTTTAATCAAAATTATAACATTTTCAAATCATTAAACACCTTCTTTATATGATAACATCAACCTGAATATGGTGAAATTTGACTAAAAAGAAAACCCTTTGATACCATCTCAAACTCTAATTGAGGGTTTAAAAATTTTGTATGTTTAATAAAATAGAATAAAAATTAATGTGATCAGCCATAAGTATATTCTTTAAGAATGATAAATAATAAGTGGAATTGAAGAAGCATTAAAATTATTTATATGTTTATTTTATTAAAATTCTTATAATTCATCTTGAATGCTTAACTTCTGTCATATATACTTATACATGTCTCATAGATATTTTTAAAATAGAAATATCAAGATATTTTGGATATTTCTTTTTGAAGTTAGCATTTAATTTTCTTATGATAAAAATAAATCAATAGAAAATGATGTCGTCTATCTAAAATACTTTGTTTTATTAAATGTGGTTTTTATAAATAGATTAATACCTTATTTTAATAGAATAAGGTAAATTGAAAATAAACTAATATACATTACCTATTTATAATTAATATATATTTTTTTAACAATGGATTAATCAGCAAATATTACTCTAAAATGCCAAATAAATGATCATAATGACAGCATAAATGCTATTTGTTATCACCCATATTGCAATGAATTTAGATTCCATTGTTTTAAATGTACTAAGTAAGGAATCCATCGAAATCATATGAATGATGTTGAACATATAGGTAGCCTATCTGAATTTGTAGAAAATTAGAATAAATAATTTCAAAATTTAAAAGACACCTTAAATAATATAATCTAAGGACTCCTTAAATCATCAGAGATATTGATTAAGGGAATAGAAGAAAAATATTATTTATAAAAGGAAAGGATAATGATTTTGAATTTATAATAATTAAATGATTACTTGAGTTCAGCTATCAAATTTGATGAATACAAATAATCAATTTTACCTATCATTACAGAAATGACTAAAAAATTAGATCTTTAATTTAGTAACTTAAAGGAATAATTAAAATTATCTTAAATTACTTATTTGATAGATTATTAAAAAATATCAGCAGAATTTTATCAAAGAGGTAATATTATCAATTAAATTTTTAGGTTATAATTTATATTGTAGTGGGAAATTTTAGGAGTCTATAGAATAGTTAAATATGTCAATTTAATTAGATCCTTCTAATTTTTTGGCTTTAGGATGTAAAGGTATTGATAATAAATATAATAAGGTGCATGTTTAAGGTTGTTGGATAAATATCAAGATGCATTAGTTTGCTTAGATTAAGCAATAGAAATAAATCCTAAACATGTTAATTCTTTAAGTAATAAAGGTAAATTAATGTAGTTAAATCATTAGGTGAATGTTTAAGAAAATTAGGGAAGTATGAAGAATCTTTAATTTTTCTGAATTAAGCACTCTAAATTGAACATTATAACACTTTTCCAATTCAAATAAAAGGTATTTTATTATTCTATTTTCTAGGGTAATGTTTAGAAAATTTAGGAAACTATGATGATGCTATGATTTGCTATCAAAAGTTTTTGAAGTATAAACCTGGTGATTAGCGGGTAAACAGTTTAATGGGTATTTTAATTAAATAATTAATTTAGAGAATTGCAAGTAGATTTGTGCTCAGAAATCGAAGAAATGATTATTAAATTAATCATTTTTTAATTTTATTTTCTCATTCATATATTGATTTTGGATGGGAATTAAATGCTATTTTGAAGTTGATTCTGTTTTTCGCGGAGTTAAAGTTCTTCGTGATAAACTAATATATTATCTAAAGTCTTGTAATAATTGTTAGCTAAGATGTTTCTATCACTATTTACTAGGTAATCAAGTAAAAGTGTTTTACATTAAAATAATATTTATTATGTATTAAGGATTGTCAACAAGATTTTGGAGTCTTAGATGTTGACAAAATTAAAGCCAATCTAGTAGTTTCCTAAATCTGTTCTATTGCTACAATTGCATCCATTTTTGTAAATTAATGGAGTATTTGTGAATTATGAATTTTATAATTCTTTAAAAAGAATACCTACACAAAGAGTAGTAATTTGCTCTAAAATTTTTATCTCCTTCGAAATTTAAACATTAATTTCGAAAACATAGTCTCCTGTTTAAAGATTATAATTATTAGAATGATCTATGCTTCTACTTTTCTAAGTTAAACAAAAGCTTTAATGTTATTTTCTGGAAGGCCACTGATGGGCTTAAAAAATCAAAGACAATTGATATATTTTTACATTTTAATTTAGTCAGTTAATTTCTCAAAATTTCATGATAGTAGGTCTTCCTTTATCATTTGAAGGTTAAATCTTTGAACAGATATTATAACCAACTATGAGATAGTTTATTAAATTTTGTATTAGTATATTATCTATTTTGGATTGTGAAAAAAGGTTTGAAAAGAACAGTATAAAAGGAAGAAATTATAATATACTTTACTATTTCAGACGATAACTTTATTAGTTTAAATTATTTTTATTACACAATTTGACTTTATAATTATTACAATACTAATATATTAATTTAATACTTTACCTCCATTCTATCAAATCTAAAATGGTTTCAAATTTCCTTGTTTTTAAAGAATAAAAACCATTTGGTATTTCTTTCTAGCATAATGACAAATCATGTTATATCTATTATTGTTTTAGTATGATTTGTTTAGAAAATGAACTTAATAATTGAAGGTAGTCTACCTAGTTTTCTCCAAATAAATTTATGAAACTTTTTAAATTCCTACACTGCAAGCTTCTTTCTAAAAACATAGTTAGTTATATAATATAGGTTAAAGATATAAACATAATTAATTAATCAAAGATTTCGCAACAGAATTCAAATCTATAAAAGAGTACTTATTAAAATATTAAACTTGCTTCCAATTTTTTGAAATAAAATTGAGTATTCATTTAAATTTTATAATTAGAATCAATACAAATTGTTTGCTAAACTAATCTCAAATAATTTTGTATTATTATTTTACTTTTTCAGTTTCTACTTCGATCTTCTCACTTGAAAGTCCTCACATAAAGTAATATTGGGCTGCATTTTCAACATAAAATACTTGAAATTCTCTCTAAAAAGAAAAATCTCATTCTCTGACAGTTACTTATGCAAAAAAACAGCAAAATATATTTTGGGGTAGGAAGGAATTATTTTTTATTATGGAGGAGCCATTATTGACTATTATTAATAAGGAAATTTAATACCCTTTAATGGAAAGACTTATTTATATTCACAAAAGTAGTAATTATTATTTTACTTAAACATGTTAATTTAATTCTGAATATAGAGAACACTGAGCTGTATTTTTTTTGATTTAGAATTGAAAAGATATCTTTATTAGTTTATTGAAAAATTAAGATTTCCTTAAAAGCAATTAGATGATAAAAAAAAGTTTATAGGCCAGAATTTTAAAGATGTCCTTTATCATTTCTATATATGTTGCTGCAATTTATGTATTAGGAATGTCCCTTTTTTTAAATGATAGGAGTTAATCATAATATATAGTTATTAATATTATTTTTTAAATGTATAAATAACTCTAATGACAATTTTAATATATTTTTAGAAAGATTTTCAAAATTTAATTTAAACAAAAAGTGCCAATAAAGAATATTGTCCAATTTCTTTTGATTTATTCTGCAATTTAACTATAGTAATATTCTCTATAAGGTTTAGCTGCCTTATCATGCGGATTACTTTAATAATCATTGATGATGAGTTGTTTTGATTGTGCGGATGTATGTGATACATGTTCATCATAAACCATTGTTAATCTTGTAAAGGTGGTTATAATTTAAGATCAAATGATTGTATAGCTTTAGCTTTTCCTCTTCTTCTACGAAATGTTCCTCAATCACTAATTGTAGTGATTGTGCAAATGGTTCTATAAGTCAGGAATAACATGTTTAAAATTTGTTGGATCCTGTTTAACTTGTGAAGGCGGTGAAAATAACTATATAAATGAAAATAAATGAAATACCCTACAAGTTGCGTTGATCCTAGGAATTAACAATTACCAACTTGTGATTGTGAATTACCAATAAAATTTTCATACACTTCAACATATTTCTTTAATTGCTAGTCCCCTTTTTTAAACAGCAGAAGAAAAAGAAACAATGAAGCCATTTAATGAGTGAAATTCTACATATTCTATGTAAAATAGATACCTCTACAGCTATGCTGACGACATCTCTATAATAATTAAACGTCAAGACATTAAATAATTATAATCATATTTGAAAAAGTATGCGAAATTTTTCCTTAATAATCAATAAGAAGAAATCTGGAATCATGGTATTAATATCACTCAAGAATTAATACGAATGAACTTCTTGAGTATCCTGTATAATAGCAATATCAAAACCATAGTATCTATTACTTTTAATAATAAATGATTGTGCAGGTTCCCAAAAAATTTGCCATAGTCTGTATGCTCTTAACACACACAAACTATTCACGCACTAAGAATGAGTGAACTATAAAATGCAGAAGAGGAATCTTACTATACAGAAAAGTGCCAGCAAAAAACATTTGTTATCCAGAACTGTAAATCAATAGTAAAGCATTTACCAGTGAATTTCCCACATCTATTTAAAATGCATTATAAAATCTGTTAGATTCATAACTGTCAACTGTCAACTGTCATATTAGCACTCTAAGTTTTTTGACTTTGACACCGTAATAGAGAGAATAATAATTAATTTTACTTTCTTAAAATGTAGAGCGTTATTGAAGAATTGCTATTGATTGTTGAAAATGATTTAGTGCCATATAGTATTCTGTTGATTACTGACTGATATTATAAATAAATAAATGTATTATGGAAAAAACTTTCGATCACATAAATATATACAAATATAGTTAGGATTGTTAATATTTTGTATCTACCTATTTTTTATTAATCTCAAAAAATAAAACTGTAAAAGTGATACACAGTTTTCCCTTCTAAATTTACTTATTGATTCAAACGTGCTATACTGTTAACTAATCAATATTTTTTTTTTTTGCAATAATTTTCATTACTTAGTGTTCTGCCACCAAACAAATAAATATTTAAGAGACCCACCAATTTTAGTGCCTGAAAAGTGATAAATTTCGGTATTCTTACAATTCTTTCACTGTGGAGGGGCTTATTTCTTAGATAGAATATTGATGAGTCCAACCATTCTAAATGTTTACTTTGTTGCTCTCATTCCTTTTTAATGGGATCTAATGGAGATATATGAAAATTGTATTCATAACATTCCTTCTTATACCTCTTTGATTTATTTGTGAACATTAGAGAGCTTCCATACAATTATTTTGTTGATAGCATTAAATGTAGAACAGTTATTGCAGTTTCAATTAAGCACTTTTATTTAGTATACATCTCAATTGGCTAGTTTTATTGGTAGACATCATTATACTTCAAAACTTGAAGAGCATATTGTTGATTAATGATTCAGGAGATTGAAAATTCATTTACATCGTGTGTATTTGGGGTTGTAAATTATATCAAATCTAAAACTGCATCTTAATTTTATTTGTTCCTATTCTGAATTCCAGAATATAGTATCCTATCCTTCAGTTATTTGATTTGCTTCGAACTCTTTTGAATCTTGATAAATATATTTCTTGTCCTGATTTTAATTATTAATTGCGTACACTAAATGTGTATATGTCTTAACTTGTTACATCAATTATGCAGCTTTTATTATACTATTATCCACATGGCAAAGCAATTTTATTGCAACACCCTTACTACTCCTCGTTACTTTATCATTGAGTTGCTGAATATTTCCGAGAGAAAGCGATATTAATTTCATTTTGCTCTAAAAATTCGGCAATTTTGCATCATTTATGTACTTATTTGTGCCTGATTATTATGATGCACGAAATAGCTAACTTAATTAAATATCCTGGCTTTTTATACTATATCCTGTTTTTAAGAGCCAGCAATCAACTCAGCTAAATTAAGTAATTGTATATTTTAATCCCAGCCATTGTTTTGGTTATTAATAAGGATGTTTGGGTTTTACTTAGCACACTCTTAATGTTTATAAGCAGATCTTATTTAAAGGATTGTTTAGCTGAATTAGAGTTAATAAATAAAAATTTCATTTGCACACTTTGTTCTGTTTATTGTAATTTTTATAAGTTCTATTATTATTTCCCTAAAATATAGTATTACACATCACTTTTATACTTAATGTTGTAAATTGGTATTTTCCTAAACATGTCTATGAGGTCCATCTAATACTAGTTGTTTGATTAAGATAGAATCATATTTATCAAAAATAACTGGAAGACAAATTTTCCAACTAAATGTGTATTCTAAATATTATAGGCAGAAAATAATTGAATGAGCAAAAGACTCTTTTGGAAAAAGAATTGTGTCTTAACAATCATCATCAAATAAAATCGACTACTCAAAGATTAATTTGATATTTGGCAATTAAAAGTTGACCCTATCCCAAGTAATTAATGGACTTAAGAATTGATTTAATAATTTAATACTTCAGAGATTACCAGAATTAAGAGTACTATCAAAGTTTCAATACGCAAGAATATAACATGGTAGTTCAAAAAGGCAAAAATTATGCCTTGGAAATCCATGAAATTATTAAAAAATGACACTGAATACCAATAATAAAAGGACCCTTACAATTTTGATGAGAGTCTTTAACGACTTCACAGGGTATATTAAATGTTATGCTGGTTCTGTTTTTGTGCTTGATAATATAGATTTAGTTGGCCTGCAGACTTTACAACAAAAATTATTGAGATAGCTGCTCTAATTGATATAATAATAATGCAGCCAATTACATGCACACATTTAATGAAGGGCGTTATACAAAACCGTAGTATAAATTTGTTGCAAGTAATCTACATACGTATTATTCTGATGTTACTACTATTTTAAAAATGCAATGTTATTAATAGGATCCTATGATTAATGTTTTCATCATAATTTTCGACAAGTACTACAGGAAAGGTGCTATTTGTAATATTCATATTGAAATGAAAAGATAAACTAGTATGGCCAACAATATTACCTATATTCTAGAGAAATGACACTTTATGTATCTGGAAATTGGCATAACTTGAGCCAGCTGTGTGTGAAGCAAAGCATGATAAAATCATACCTGCTTATTATTAACCTTTCATGTGAGTTATATAAAATCATTCTTGCATACATTGTGTGGTGATGGTTACCCTGTATGAGACTGTTTATTAGCTTGTGAACCACCACATAAAGTTAAATATTCTCCTGATACTGGCAGAATAGATGTTGATCCTTTTTTTGTGAATAATATTTACATTCTTTCTCTTTTAATTTAGATTCGTATTAAATTATACTTCATTGACATAATGTTCATATGATGATGCACATTCATACTATGTTGTTTCTTATAATAGCAATGTTTCTTTCTTATACTAACTAAAGTTCAAATCAATACATCTTTAATGTACCAAATACAACTTGTTCTAAAAATATTCATGTATTCCTTGTTTGACTTTATAAGTAAAATAGGCTTTCACTTATGCAATTCTACTTACACTTCTAAATGAAATTGCCACTTTTATTCTTATTCTAGAAGATATTTCTTCAATTTCTATTGGAAATTTTTTCCTTTCTCATGGATTCTAAATCGTTTGAAGTCAATGCTCAAGATTCTATTATATCATCCTTTATTCACTTTTGAATTCAATACTAGTTTTATAATTGTCGTATGCTGTTCAGTTACATTATTTATTATCATATACACTTTTCATAGGATAATCCTCCTTCCCTATAGGCAGTACCTGAGCCTCATCTTTCCTTTGGCAATAAGGAATACTTAGAATCTCCTTGAAACGTCATTAGCCATGTTAATGATGTTGTAAGCAGGAATTTTTTTCATTATTTGTGTAAGTGTCATACACTCTATTGTATTTGATTAATCTTCTCATTCTTCGAGTGCAATGTATTGAGATTAAGTTCATAAATGAAACGGTGCATTTAATGAAGAGTTTAAAATATGAATGATAATAAGCTTTCACCTATAATAATTATACAGTACAAGTTTGTATTTATGCGTTTGCATAAACGTTTGATGATACCAGATATTTGTATTTTTCGTCCCTTTATTAATGGAGATTGCAAACTTGATGTTCAGTCCAGCTTCCTATTAATCATTTTTTGACAATCAAATTTAAAGTTCAAAAATGCTTTGTGGTGAATCAGTCATACTTCCTTTCAAAGGTATTTTCAGTTGTGCACCAAACATCCGATGCTGCTTTTATTATTTCAATACAAAATTTAATAATGATATGTAGTGCTAAACTTCTTTGGTAATGATGGCTAATTACATATTTCGTATCAATTAACGGATCCACTCGTTGATATCAAGCTTTGCAATATATATAAAAATATAGTGCATTATATTATAAGTCTACTTAAAAGGTGCAAACTAAATACAGAGCATTGTGTTCATTTTGTGGTGGCTGTTAGACTGTATAAAATGAAGTAATGATGCCATGCGTTTGAGAAAAAATCTTCCTCGGTAAGCAGATGTTAAAATAACTTGTCATCATATTCTATTTAATTAAGAATCCTATTTATCATCTTCTTCTTGCAAATAAGATTATGCTTAGATACCTTTGTAACAGCTTGTGATAACCAATTTAAATTGTAATTTTAACGTGTCATTTGGTGCTTATCATCCGAATTGCAATTTTATTGGAATTATATCTCTTGAGGCAACTAATATATTTTAATTGCTACCCACATTCGATCTTGTATTTCTTTTAATAGATCTCTTTTACATTCACCATCAGCTTCCCGTTTGCATTCCATGTTTTTGTTAATGCTTACATTTTGCTGTGGTTTGGAACGTTTTTGACATTTGCATCACATGCTTATTCTAATAGCACGCTTATTTCATTAGCTATCAGTATATCTCTACTTTTAAGTTTTGAGTTACAACTCTAAAATTGATACATAATCTGACAGTGGTGCTTTCAAATCACCACTAAATGAGAGTCTTTTGTAGCCGCAATTTTTATCTCTTAATTAATCCCTTTTTTATTGAAGCTGTTTTGATGGATATTGGATTCTTAATCGATATACACTAATTTCATAAATGGAAGAGGTATTAGAGTAGATAAGATACTCAAAACCTTAGAATTACTATAAGTAATTATCCGTTTTGCAAACACTGATTAAATAGCATGCTCCCAAAATATTTATAGTTGAGTGTATTCAATTATGTATAACCCATACACCTATTAATAATTATTTACATCTGCAATTACAGATATATATAACCTAAAAAAAAATTATCAAATGCAAAATATCAATAAACTGAAAAGGAAAAAATAATCAGAACATTATTGGATATAGTCAAAATTAATTCTCAAAAAAGTTATAATCTTTTTCGACATATTCATAATCGGTTGTGTCAACAATATTTCAGGCTTTCAATTTCTGTTGATTAACTACTGAAGTCTAGATTATTGATTAAAAAATCATACATTAATCATATGGATGAAGGTAATTTTGTAATCCGCCTTGTTGTTAACTTCTTATGACTTATGCTGGTAAATTAAGCATTTTTATGAATATTTTTTAAACCAAAAATTTGTCGAAGTAACTCTCATATATTCGCATTAGAAGAAAATTGATATATGAATTTAGCATCTAACTTGCATGACAACATATTTATCCAATAATATCTTTTACATATAAGTTTTATGCATTACGAATTCTTTTGTGACTCGATTTGATTTCTGTTCTATTTTAATTATTAGATATGGTATCTCATCATTCTATTAACTAAATTATTATTGAATAGGCTGGAATCTTAGTCTTTTAATTTTTAATTATAATTATATAATAGAGTTATATCCTACTTAAAATTAATTCAAATTCCATATGTACAAGTCATTATATTTAAAGAGATATTCTTTTTATTTTATTGATACATTCGAAATTAATTGATAACGTTCACCGCAACAATTTGAGACCTTTTTATTCTTCAATTACAGGAGCTTTACTTTAGCAATTCATAGATAATTTAGTTAGTTAATTTATTTACCCATAATTTATGCACTCATAAGCTTTTAGAATTATTAAATATTGCCATCTCCTTCAGTAATAAATCAGTTTTTGCCATACAAAGAGCAATCTTAAAAAAATTGAGTCAGAGATTAAATATTAGGGATAAAACCTGACATTCTTTATCATTTTGAATTATCTTAGAAATATACAAGAGCTTAAAATTGACGTATGTTGCAAGAAGCTTGATAAGAACCAGATACTTTTATTTAAACTCAACAAATTAATCATGCTTTATGCATTAAAATAAGGAGTCGACTAGAGCAATGTCTAATAATGTCATTATCCTTAATGCTTTTTTCATCCAGCAAAAATATTTCCATCAGTTTTAAATATAAAGCATTCTCTAGTGAGATCCATTGTTTGACGAAGAAAATTCCTTTGATTTTAAATTGTTAATTTCTAAACAGGCATCCTATAAGCTAAACAAGAATAATTATTTTTGTTATGGTCACAAGTTGATAAGTGAAAAGAAACTGGATAGATCAATAAAATTTATTATAATAATATTAACAAATTGTAACTGCAACGATCAATAGTACAATTTCTAAAAATATTCTCTGAAAACTACAAGGAGTGTGTTCAAATGAAAAGATTAAATTAAAGCCCTACATCATTAGAACCAACAAGATAGAATAGTTGTAAAAGAAGGAGATGAGCTATGGTAGACAAGCATTTTTATCATCAGATTGAAACAATACTAACAAGGAAAGTTTAATAATCTTATATTATTTTGCATTCCAAAAAAATTTCCAGAGAAAATATATATGTGAATTGTGTAAAAATTAGGAAAACATTTAGCACCATTAATTGATTCACATATCCAGACTTAATGTACAGAATAAACTATTGGAAAAGGTAACCCTCTACTTACTAGTTCAAGTGCAGAAAGTAATATAAAATTGAAATACACTACTTACTTCCTAACCGTAAGTAGTGTAGTCACATGAAAAAACAAAGCTAGAAAAAACTCAAAGAATTTGTAGCTTATGTAAAATTAAGCTAGCTGAGTAGGTAGCAAAAAGAGATGGAACTTATGTCAAAAGCATGGTCCGAGTATACTATTAGATAAGGTTAAATCAATCACTACTATCGCTATTAACACGACGTAGCAGAGTTTGCACAGAACTAAAATAAATTGAATATCAAAGAAGCATCAAGATCTGGGATTTTCATAAAAATTCAAGGATAAAAGTTCATTTATGATTTAGTCTAAAATTTTAGTGCAGGAAATTTGGGCAAACTAAGTCATCAAGTTCATTGTCTAGGTTGAGAATAATGTTACAGTGATGGATAAATTGAATTTTATAAAATTGTTAATAATAACAATTTTATCATTATTGTAATCCAATTTAGTTTTCTAAAATGCAACTTCCTTTGTATTAAAATAATGTCTTCAAGTCAATTCCAGCTTGATCTATAAATTCACCTTTCAAAATTAAAGCACCTTATGATTAAAAGATTAGCTATTGTGATATTAGAAGGATAGTAACACTAGAATTAACTAAAAAATAGTTAAAATAAATACCACTTTCTTGAAGAGAGCTGTTGTTGAAAATTTGAAGTGAAAATTAAGCTAAAATATCTGTGTAATTATTATCTGAAGATATGATTTATAATCCTGTCTTAAAGTCCCATAAACGGATAGAGTTATCCAAACTACCAGATGCTAATGTAGTACCATAAGGAGAAAAATTGACTGAATTAACTGTATTAGAATGACCAACTAATTTGGCTTTTTATTAGGGGT